GTGCCCCTTCGGATCCCTACATTTGTATCTTTGGGGTGCAACTCATTATTTAAATGTATTCATAGTTCCTTGGAACTTGGAAGAAAGGCTACATAAATATTACAGAACGATTAAAAAATGTATGAAATGTATTCACCTGAAAATATGACGGTTGAATTTCTTACTATAAATCAAGGAATGGGTGCTGACTTTCGCACCAAGTCCCGAGGCTGTAGCTGTTCTGGGGCACTCTGCACAATCTCACAGCACAGGCTGCTGAGGCTCTGGGGCTAACAGTAAGATTCCACACCAGGTGCGCATCCCCCCTGAGGCCTCAGGAAACCGCATCCCCGGTGGTGGCTAGGCCTCCGTGGGCCTTTTCCCTCAAACTTTCTACTCTCCTAAATGCCATGAGAGGAATTTGAAGAAGAAGCAACACAAGGGATAAATAGTGACGCATTCATACCGCAGAATACTACTCTGCAAGGAAAAGAATGAACTAAATGTATGCACAACATGGATGAATTTCACAGGCATTTTTGCTGAAAGAGGACAGCCATCAAGTAATATATACTGCATAGTTTTGTTCATGTAAAGTTGAAGAACAGGCCGAACCTGGGGTGGGGAAACTGTTTTACTTCTTGATCTAGGTGTGGTTACATAGGGATATATACATGTCTACAGATCATAAAGTTGTACACTTGCGATTAGTTCACTTGATGCATATTATACCTTAATAAAAAAATGAAAAGTACTTACATAGAAGACCATGGAGCCCCAAATGCATGGTGGGATCTGCACCCAGAGCCGAAGGCAGGGACTGGCTTACAGCAGGGCTTGGCTTGCATGTCAAGCTAAGGGCTTGCCCTTTATTCAGGAACCCCGGGGCCTCTTGAAGAAGTGACGTGATTGCTTTGGAGTGTTGAAAGCTCAGTCAGCATCATTCTGCGTAGAAAGAGAACTGGAGCGGGGCAAAACAGAGAGCAGGGGAGATAAGATCACCTTAAATAGCCCTCATCTGAGAAAACTCTAATTCTCTATCAACTTGGTGAATGCACACTGTCTGTAAATACAAAGCATTCACCTCCAACTTGGAGTCCGGGAAGGATGCGGTCGCTCCGGGGATCCACCCTGTTGCACTAGGCATGCAGACGATTTAAAAATGGCTTTTCCGGGGCTGCCGCACCACCGTGGGCTCCCCAGGGCAGGCCTTCCTGGCAAGCTGCCCTTCTCAGCTTCTCCTACTTCCCCACCCCCAGTTCCTGTTGCTGCGGTCGGTCAGTTTTCTTCTCTTAACATCATTTGCATAGAGGAGGAGGAGGTGGTCACCACTGCCCACACTGACCTAAATAAAATGCAGGGGTCACAGGGTCATTTCCATGGGGAGTGTGCATAATTTGCACATTCTCAGGCATGCTGTCAAAATTCAAGGAATTTTCCATATTAAAATTAAATATTGCCAACAAAGATCAGCCTTTTTAAAAAACTGAATTGAATATAGATGATCTGTAGTGTGTCTGTATCATAGCTGCAAGCCTTCAATTTTTTATATTTCTTTTGAGCTGTCTCCACTTACTCAATAAACATTTTTAATAAAAAAAACCTCTTTAAAGTATATCTGTTTATGTGCTTTAAATACATATACACAGGATAATGCTCTGTCAGTAGTGTGGGTTCTTTTTTTTTTTTTTTAAACACTTTATTTATTTGACAGAGAGAGAGAGCGCGAGCGGTGGGGGGGAGAGGGAGAGGGAGAAGCAGGCTCCCCGCTGAGCAGGGAGCCCGATGCGGGACTCGATCCCAGGACCCTGGGATCATGACCTGAGCCTAAGGCAGACGCTTAACCGACTGAGCCACCCAGGCGCCCCAGTAGTCTGGGTTCTTTACTGATGTAAGCTTCTTCAGGTATGGTTCTGAATTTTTTATCACACATACTATAGTCGCCATTTACAGGCCATTAAATAAATAAGATATTTGGCTTTAAAACAAATGCATTTCAACAATGTAGTACTCTAATTTAAAAAATGAGTTTGCATGTGTGTGTGTGCACACACCATGTGAGATACAAGTACCGAATTTACAAATAGATTACCTGAACCTTCATGTACTCTCAAGACCTTTAGCAGTTCAGGTTGTATAATCACTCACCCAAAATTTGTACGGCTGGAAGAAAAGCTAAAGATCGGTCAATGGAACCCACCTACTTTGCAAATGGAGACAGCCAGCTCCATCAAAGCTAAGGAACTTGTCACACTGTTGACAGTCCCCCCCTCCCCAGCCCCAGAAGGTTTTTTACTTTGCTTTCTTTCACTTCCAAACGAGTTATTTTTTTTTTTTTAAAGATTTTATTTATTTGACAGAGAGAGTGAGAGAGCACAAGCAGGGGGAAGCAATAGGAGAGGGAGAAGCAGGCTTCCCGCGCCAAACGAGTTATTTTTTAAATATTCTAAGTCAAAATTCACCCTGGTAATTTGAAGACAGGAAGAAAAGGATGTTGAAAAATAACTGGGTTCCCTGGGTGGCTCAGGTAGGTCATGATCTTAGGGTCATGAGATCGAGCCCTGCGTGGGGCTCTGCTCTCAGTGAGGAGTCTGCTTGAGATTCTCTCCCTCTGCCCCTCCCTCCTCCACTCTCTCTCTCTCTCAAATAAATAAATCTTAAAAAAAAAGAAAGAAAAAAAGAACTACATACATATGAATAAGAAAATGACAGTCTGTGGTGGGATTAACCCAACTGTGAGCTGGAAAAAACAGGACAACACAGAAACATCTCTAAGAAGGAGGAAAGAAAACACCAGTGGGGTGTGGCCAGCTTTGTGCACTAAACACCAGCTGATGCTGTTAATATAGGATGATTTGGCCAGGATTGATGGGAGTGGGAGATAGGTTGGAATTTAGATCTATGGCAAAATTTTTAGAAGCCAGGATTAATGGGGAAAAAAATCCATGATTTGAAAAAATAAAAATTGAAATACAGACAGGATTTGATGCTGCATTTGCATAATCCTGTCTCACTCATTTTTTGCCTAATCCTGGCCCTGGTTCCAATAAAACTCTATTTATAAAAACAGGTGGAGTGCCTGGGTGGCTAAGTTGGTTAAGCGTCTGACTCTTGATTTTGGCTCAGGTCATGATCTCAGGGTTAGGAGATCGAGCCCAGTGTCAGACTCCTCACTCAGTGGGGAGTCTGTTTCTCTCCCTCTCCCTCTGCCCCTCCCCCTGCTCTCTCTCTCAAATAAATAAATTAATTTAAAAAAATAGGCAGCTAGCCTGTGAGCCATGGTTTGTCACTTTGGTTTTAAGAACATTGTATTAAAATATCATTTATCCTTAAAACAAGATGAAACTATAGAGGGAGACAAACCATAAGAAACTCTTAATCCTAGGAAACAAACTGAGGGTTGCTGGAGGGGAGGGGGGTGGAGGGATGGGGTAACTGGGTGATGGACAGTAAGTAGAGCATGTGATATAATGAGCACTGGGTATTATATAAGACTGATGAATCACAGGCCTGTACCTCTGAGACCAATAATACATTATATGTTAATTAATTGAATTTAAATAAAAAATGTTTTAAAAAATGGGAAAATCAAAAAAATATATATCATTTATCTTGACTGCTGAATTTTTTTGGCATCCCCGTAAAGTCTGTGCCCAAGGTAAGTGCCTCACTCCCCTCACCTTAGTCCCCGCCCTGAGGTGGACCTGGCAACAGTGTACAGTGGCTAAGTTAGGTGATGAGGCAGCTTGAGTGTAAGACAAAATGAAGTTATGTGTGCATTTGTTCATGTAATTACTTTTTCATATAGCTGCCTTAGATCCCAGTCAGTACATTTTTATGAGTGAGAGTAAACAGAGAAATTATAGTACCTCCCAAGCCTGGTAAAGTGGGCCAAGATGCGAGAACCTTCCCGATTGAATGCTCACTGAGCCGATCAGGAGCAAAGCAATAACACTAAGAGATACTGGGCTAAAATTAGTGTTTTAGCAATGCCCGCATTAGTTCAGTGTCTAGCATCCTGTAATCTCACGTTTATACCTCCCCAAGATTCATGTGAGAGCCTCTTTGGTTGGTTTTACACATACATTATGGTTCAAAAAGCAACTCAGGGGTCCAAAGAAAACCACAGTCCAAAGATGAAGTCAGAATTTCTTCAGGATGTGAGTGGTGATTTGTCTCAGTCTTATGACTCTTATACACTCATTTCCCAAATAACCTCCAGTCTGAAAGAACACATCTGAAATGTTACACTTCCTGCAAGAATGTACAGTACAATGATTCCCTGTTCCAGGACATTATATGCTTTAGTGAGTCTTTAACAGACATTGGGTATTTTCTTTTCCTACTAAGGTGTTAACTGAACCCATAATTGCATTTAGGGTCAGCATGGCTTCCTTCTAACTGATTTCATACATACTTAGAGATTTCCTGATGTCCAGATCTAGAACATCATCACCCATGGAGTCATTGTGAAGGTAGTCACAGCTGTCTTTAAAATCTGCAAACAGTTCTCAGAATGGCTAATGTGATGTTTGCGCACATCCACCCCACCCCACCCCCAAAATCTGACTCTTAATTTGGCTGTACTCTCTGGGCTCATCTGTACATCCATTTATTTTGGGACAAGTTCATTTCTTGCCATAAGAATTTTAGCCATTTTATATTACAGCTTTTGGACTTAATTGCTAACAGAGATAATTGTATCCAGGAAAGGTTTTTTCCTTCTCTCTCTCCCTTTTTTTACAGTTTTTTTGTTGTTGTCATTGTTGATTCCTGAAGAGATGGTGAGCTTCCTTTCTCTTTATATCTTACGAGCTAAACTATTTGGTGTATCATAAATAAATAATACATAGCGCATTAGTCATTCATTAAGGAAGAGAAAGTTAAGTTCACAATAAATTTCCTGGAGCCAGAGAACACATCTTTATCTTCTCTCTCAGAGCGTATTTGGGATATAAAATTAGAACAAACCTGAGGACATGTTGGTATGCATCTATGTGTTTTGGTTGCCAAGTACAAGAGGTGAAATAAGTCTCCGATAAATATCTTAGGAGGTACACACTTGTACTGGACAACCCAGAAATGACTGCCCTGTACTGGAAAGAACATAGCGCTCCCTTCAGTAATTTAGAGGCTTCTTTCTCTGTTTGTGGCTGCCTGTACTTGCTGAGTAGCTCAGTTGGCTGGAGCATTAAGTACCAACTGCTCCACAGGAGAGAACAAGCCCAGATTGCTCCGGGGGCACTGAGCTGGGAATGCTCAGCATGGACTGAAGAGGAAAGAGTCCAGAGGTAAGCCCTGAAGACCCAGCAGATTGTGGTGGGATGGGGACCACAGGGAGCCATCTTGCTAGCAGGGCCTCACTGAAGGTAGGGGACCCCAGGACTACTTCCATTTATTTTAATGGTCCTGATATATTAAAACATAAATGATAGAGAAGGTATTAAAATTGTAGTATATTTTAAGTTTTTACAACATTTAAAATTACAAATAGAGTAGCTTCTTCTCCCATTGGTGTATTTGTGTGGTTATTTTTATCTCATAGGAAATTATGTCCAAAATCCATACTTGGGGCCCTCAGTGAATGCAGGCCTCAGCCAAGTGCCTTCCTGGGATGCCACTGCCCCATAGTTCACCCCCAACCCAGACAAGACAGCCCAACAGGCAAGGCCCATGCTGTCCTTAGAGCTTCTTTTTTACCCTATACCCTGTGTGGCCTGTGCCCTGAGTAGGCCCTCGAAAAGTATATGTTGAAGAAAGGAATTAGGTGTTCTTTAAACATAACCAAGAACTTTACCACCTCATTCATTTTCTGATATGTACCCTACTTGACTCCCCCCGCAACCGTGCATTCTACCTACCTCTGAAGTTCTAGCCAAACACCATGTTTTTATGAAGTCTGTCTGTTCCAATTATTGTACCCAATTACCTCTACATGCTCAGATGTGCTCCTGCACTTAGTCAGAACCATTTATAATAGTCTGACTCTCCCACATCTCCGACCCCCACCTCTATCTCAGCCTGGAAAATTCAAGCTCTTCGCAGTCAGGAACCATGTCTTATTCTTCTTTTGTACCTATAGTGTAAGGCCTAAATTCCATGCACTACCTGGACATCTTTGAGCCTCATGGGGCCCCAAAGGCCTAACCATGAGTATTCCTGCTTTTGCCAAGTATGTCCCCCACCAGCTAAGAAAGGCTCCCCACTTGGCTGGTTCTCCTAATAGCTGGACCAGCTACG